GACTGGGGAGCAGCACCCCTGGCTGGGCGGGGCCCCTCCCGCTGCCCCCAGGGGCAGGCGAGCCAATCGGGCCACCCCGCCCCCTGCTTCTCCAGGACCCCATGACTCAGCGCTGGGAGCTGGGCGGAAGGGGACTGGGATGGCTCCTTCCTTACAGGCCCAGGGCCCCCCGCCCCCGGTCGGTCATTCTAGCTTCTACCTTGCTTTCCCCCACCTACCCTGCTTTTGCCGCCCCCCCCTTGCACTGCCAGGAAAAGGGAACAGAAACCAGGAAGGAGGGGTCTAGGAAGGGAGGGGCTGTCCTTCACCCCCTGACACAGCCAAAGCCCCAAGGGGCATGGGGGCAGGGCAAGGCTTTGGTCCCAAGCCCCCCACCCCCTAGAAACCCGCATAGCCGAAGAGGGACCCCATAAATCAGAAATACATTATTGCTTCTACTCCCCAGGCACAGCTGGAGACAGGGACCCCACCTTTACAAGAGAGCTGTAAGTATATACATAAGATCATATGGATCACTCCTTGGGAGACCACCCCAATCTGGGGAGCCTTCGCCCCAAAACCTTCTCAGCTTGGAACTGGAATCAGGGCTCTGGGGAGAAGGGGATGATTTCTGACGCCAGGGCGGTCCGGTGCTCTGACCCCAGCTCTGTCTGTCCTGCAGGCTCCCACTGCTTGGCATGGGCGGCCCGCGTGTGCTGCTCCAGCCGGCCGCTCCTCCCTCTTTAAGAGGACTCCATGGCACCTTCAGCCTGCGGAGTGGTGGGTGCCCCCTCCTCCTCCTCGTCATCAGGGGGCCCTGGAGTGGAGACGGGGGGCCCGGTGGGGGCTGACTGCTCCCAGAATCGAGACAGAGAGAGGCGGAAGGTGTCCAAGTGGCCGTTGGAGAGGTCGAGGCCCGCGGGGGACGGCTGCGGCGCCGCCGGGTGCGCACCTCCAGGCAGTTCTGGCCCTTGAGGTGGCGCTGCAGGTGGTCCTCCTTGGCGAAAGCCTTGTGGCACAGGTGGCACTCGTAGGGCCGGTCCCCTGTGTGCAGGTGCATGTGGTTCTTGAGGTCGTAGCTGTGCAGGAAGCGGGCTGGGCAGTGCGGGCACGAGTAGGGGCGCTCTCCAGTGTGCTTCCGCATGTGGATCTTCAACTTGTCGTTCCTGGCACAGGCAGGAGCGGGGAGAAAGGGGGGATGTTCAGGTGGGGTCCTGGCCAGATTCCCAGACCCTGTCCCACTCCCAGCCCTCATCATTTGCTCCCCCATTATTGCCCCAGCATCCCTTGCTGACTTCGTCTCAGCTTGGCTGGGCCCCACACCCATCCCTCTT